AGAAATAAAAATGTCCCATCTGAAATTTATAGCGTTCGTCTGTATATCACTAACTATACATTAAGGCATACAATAGGTTTAATATATGAAAAAAAACTGAATTGCGCCTGTTTTGGTATCCAGACGGTTCGCATAATTCGTACAGATTTAAATTTAGTATACAGGATGAGTAAAAAATTACGCAATTTTACCGTTATATTATATACGCTCATAAAGTATGCATGTATATATATGTCGAGTTATACAAACTATTGAAATATACCTAGTTTGTTCTTCGATATTATGTGGAGCCATCACTGCTATATATTAATATTATATGATGAGTATATATACAAGTCGCGAGATATTTCAGTTATTTCAATCAATTACAAAGATAATTTCGTACGACATAAAATTTTAAGGGGGTTTAGGCATGAGCCTGAAATAACCTTGTAGGCAAATTATGATAGTTTACTGGTTTTTGGTTACCTATACCTCTCGACTAGTCCAGTCAAAATAATTGTAATGTGTTTGAATAATTATTTTATTAGTAATGTAATGAGATGAGATTCTTATGGCATATACGATGGAAACAGAGCAAATAACTATAATAATAAATAAACTGTGTCCTTGTCCTAAACAGGTATAGTTGACAGTCATCAGCTGATGGCCGCTCGTGGCATCTCTCTCGTTTGTTGTCGAAGAAAATAATTTACAAAAGAGTTTCTTGATTTTCTCATTCCTACTAGTTTTTCAATAATCAATTCTTGAAGAAATGCTTCTTCTTGAACAAGACGAAAACCCGCCAGCGATACTGACGTCAAACGCGTCAGTCGTTTATTGGTATTAAAGAATGATTAATATTTTTTGGGATAAACAAATCCAATTATTGCAGAATATCCCGCACCTTGAGAAAGATTTCAACATTCCTCGGTTCTTCGCTCTCAAAATTTACTGATTCCAAAAATTATTGTATACCATGCCATGAATGAACTGAGAAAATAAGTTTGAAACTCATTTTTCCTTGTTTTCCTACATATTAAATGATATGCTTCTTGACGTTGGAACCATATGGGATTTAGGAAAAGTTATTCCTCATAAAAAGTTCTACATGTTTGAAAATCTAAAATAGAATCATCAGATATCATATGTTTTCAGTGATATACGCGGTATGTCAATTAATGTGAATTGTACTCAAGAGTAAAGTATACCCATATTATATCTGAGATTATCTAAAATTTTCATTGAAAAAGTTGTTCAGAACTGAAAACTACATTCAAATATGCGATAACATCCATAGTTTTTATTTTGGAACGGACATTTATCTCTTGTTTATGAAACACATGATCACAATGAATGCATTGTTATTGGTAGACAATAAATCAAGAAAACGATATTTCTTTCTTCTATTGCATATTATTCGAATGTAGTTTTTAGTTTGAGCAACTTTTTTCAATATAAGGATTTTCGATATTGTCAAATATAAGTACGTTACTGTTTTGAGTAAAATTGAAATTTTTTGACTCACCGCGTAAACGACTGAAAAAAATTGATATCTGATGATTGTATTTTTGATTTCAATAACTTGTTTTTCCTAAAATGAATAATGAAAAAGTTTTCTATATGATTATTCCAACTTATAAAGAGACATACCGTACATAGATATAAGAGTGATATCACAATACCAAAATCGTTCAATTGAATTTTATAATCTCGGCATAAACGTATAATTGAGGGTTAGGACAGATTTTATCTCTGCTGATTGCACCGACTATACCTACTTGAATAGTAATCACATGGACGTATATATAAACAAAGAAATCATGATGTGTTAGATGTACCTATAAAGTTGTAGAGTTGGCAACGAAGGTGAAACCTATATTGGTCCATACACCGCGTGGTGTCTATACTACACACAATTTTGGTATTAAAGCTAGTAGATTCACACCTTGAATACAAAATTGGTCAAGGCAGATGATACTCTACTCAGATTATCTGTTGAAAAAACTAATTGGTAATTTGGCTCTAACATTTCCAAATTTATCCAATATGATCAATGTTGATTTCTCACTGTTCATAGAAAAATGGAAATAACCTGGCAACACAGGATGATAGCTTGTGACGTCACTTCTGGCTAGACGATTGTGCCCGTTGCTGAACGCTATGTTTGAAATGGTTCGAATGTTCGATGAAAATGTAGGGTTTTCAGATGGTGTGTTTGAAGTAGCACCGCATATTTTTATAAAAAACAATGCATTCATGTTATTTAACTATTTTACTAGATATCTCAGTTTAATGCACTTTCATGCTGCGTTATTTGCCTTCTTGGTCTAGTTGTCACGTGCTCGCTGGCAGTTTTGTTTCTCTTTAATGTTGATTTCATTTTTCCTCCCTCTAAACGCGATCTAGTAGAATATACATTATCATATCTTTGACACACTGTATAAACCGCTGGCTCGCATAATAACGTGGTATTAGGGTCGAGCATTCTCCGATAAGAAATACCTTAATTTATGGGACATGTTCATGTTCAACGAAGTCATTCAACTATCCCGCCTTTGAAATACCTACTCTCATAGCCCTCGCGATATTCTCGCCCCATTTCACCTTCAACCAAAGCAAAGCATCATGAACCCCACTAATTTGGTGCAACATACGATTGCTTTGTACGACTTCAACAAGCAACACGGAAAACCCAAAAAAAATTGTGAGGAATAGCAATAGACAAGAGACAATTTTTGACAAATTTAAAAAAGTATGTGAAAGATTTTTCCACATCGTATACAACCTATATACATACAGAAGGTTAGCTAAAGCCCTGAAATATTTAAGAATGTCGGATGATGCTATAGAATGGCAAGAATGCTCTAGCAGGCTATATAGGATGTTCCAGAATATTATATCGGAATCAATAAACCCGATATACCCATGACTGGGAACGGGCAAATATCAGATCCACACCCTGCATGATGAACATCAATTCATTGTATAACCGACAAATAATCAGCAACCTTCATCGCAGTTTTTCAATTCCAATTAAAAAATGAGAGCCATTTAACAAAATTCTTTGGTTTCCTGAATTCCACCTCAACTTCACTATTTCAATAAATGATACATCTATTGTAATTGTTGGGTAAGGATCCTGAAATTTGCTGGAGCGAGAGATATACCAAAAATGCACTCTATGACCAAGTGGGGTCATCTTCAGTGATATACACTGCTCGCCAACAGCCATGAAACTACCCCAATTTCCGGAAAATGATATTAGGAGTCAAAATAGGTCGAAAATCACTTCAGATTTGGAATCAGGACGCCCAATTTACTAACTATTCAAATTTTTTCTGGAAAATTTCCAGTTCGGAAAAATGAAATTTTGTCGCATTTTTTATGGAAGCACCCCCGTATCTCACGTAATTGACTTTATCTTTGGACTTTCTCTTCCTCCGGCAAATTTCAGAACCCTACCTCAATAATTACGTGAGATACGGGGGTGCTTCCATAAAAAATGCGACAAAATTTCATTTTTCCGAACTGAAAATTTTCCAGGAAAAATTTGATTAGTAAGAAAATTGGACGTCCTGATTCCAAATCTGAAGTGATTTTCGACCTATTCTGACTCCTAATATCATTTTCCAGAAATTGGGGTAGTTTCATGGCTGTTGGCGAGCAGTGTATATCACTGAAGATGACCCCACTTGGTCATAGAGTGCATTTTTGGTATATCTCTCGCTCCAGCAAATTTCAGGATGCTTACCCAACGATTACGTAAGATACAAGGGTGGTTCCATTAGAAGTGGGTCACACTGTATATATATAGAGAGAAATACATTGAGAATTTGCATTCTATATGTAATGGAAATATCAAATCTTTCTCGGTTCATTCAACAGAAAACAAATACTTTTCTGGCTATATGCCACGACGAACATTGAATTATATCAATTGAACACACACGATAAGCTAGGCTCTGGTATTCATTGCCTGAGGAAGTATTCCCAACAACATATAATCTCCAGAAGTTCAAAAAAAATTCCAATACCTACCTCCTGTCCCTATCCTCCCTAGGATCGCACGATGTTCTTTGAACATTATAGGGATTTCCTTTCGTGCGCTCCAAGCGATAAAAAAAAATAATGAAAAATATAAAGATATGTATATACACATAATATTAATCTGAATATTCAACAGAAAACAACTACTTTCCTGGCTATGTGCCACGTCGAACATTGAATTAATTATATCTGTTGAATATGATGAAAATCATGAATTGAATATCTTACTGAACCATATAGGGAATAGGAAAAAATCACTGAGGACTATCCGTGAAGTTTTGAAAAAATATAAATTCAGACCTAATAAATTCCATACAGTACAAAAATTGACAGAGATTCATAGAAATCAAAGACTGAATTTTTGCAACTTGATGTTGAATAGATTGAATAATGATAGAAAAAATTTCCGGAAAATAAATCAATATTACAATTCTGACTTTCAGCGATTACTTACTGTCAATGAGTATTGAATATCATAACGATATATTAATTACCTAGATTCATTGTCACAGCATACTCTCGATAATCATTTGAGGATCGATAAACATTTTTTTTATCAGGTCCATATCATGAGAAATTCTGAAGATAAATGTATTGAGTGCGGTATTTTCGCAAAGCTCTTCGAAAGGTCTATCTAATGGGCCGAACATATATAGGGCGTTCCATTTAAAATTCATACACTTTTTCTTGCTCCCTGTATATCCTCTGAGATACTGAAAATATTTCAGTTGATTCGATGAGAAAAAAAATCCCAGGTAAGGCTGTTTATTTAATTTTTTTCTAGTGTCAAAAATAATAAATTTATACGGGGTGATACTTTATAACGTCACCCGGTACATGGTGGAACCATATAAAATATGAATATTTGCTTGTAGTTTTTGCGTGATTCTTACTGGTAATATGTGTACCGACAGGCTCGAAAGGGTTAACGTTTGTGGTATACGTTTCATAAGTTGGGCGCAGCAACTTACCAAATGTCTCCCAGCTTGTCCTTAGACTCGGCCGGCAGCGACGGGAACTTGTAGTACTCGTAGATCAGCCCCATGGCGGACGAGTGGTCGTCGCCTCCGCCGCCTCCGCCGCCCCCGCCGCCGCCGCCGCCGCCCCCGCCCAGGTTGAGCATCGCGGTGGTGGCGGCGGTGAGCGGGTGCTCGTAGTAGGCGCGCCACGTCTGCGGGTCGTCGGGTGGGGCGGCGCCCTCGGGCAGTTCCGCCATCGCTCGAGGACCGGCCGTCGACGGGTCGCCCGGCTGCTGGTGGTGGTGGGAGGAGGACGGGTCGGGACTGGCTTTCCTTTTCCTGGAAAAGGGTTCCAGTGACATTTCAAGAGCCTCTAATATAATAATAATATAAGGTAGGCGCGGGTAATAAGGCCTGTCGGCTAATAAGGCCTAAATGATGAAAATGCAATTTAAAATAGTCGGTGTCGTTCAAGGTCACACTAACAGGTCGGTAACTATCATAGATGGCGCCTGAAATCTGCCGCGATGTGTTTGGTCGCCAATACGCCAATGGCGACCAGTGCGGTGTCATTCGTTAAGAGTAGTGGTCGTGTGGCTCGAATAATAAGAATTCGTCCAAATCAATCGTACGTATTTTTTGAAATATTACACTTATTAATATAATTCTGCGTTATAGTTTTCTATTATGTCATGGTTCTGCGATCTTTGATGTTTGAATAATATATCAAGGTCCGAATAATGTTCTTTTCAGATTTCCTTTACACACGTTGTTGGAGGTTATTAAGGCCTACCAATAGAAGAATCGAAAAGACCTCAACCCCCAAAAGTAGAAGTGGTACTGAACAGAACCAGGCGAGTTGGTACTGTCATGTTTGTGAGGAGGAATGGCTGACATGAGACAATGTTCTAAATGCATCAAGTGGTATCACGAGGAGTGCGTCGGTTTGTCAGCAGATGATACAGATAATTTTGAGTGTCCTGAGGGTTGTTGAACAAAGAGATTTGTTGTTATTTTCAAGACCTCAGCATGATCAATGCATGATTATCAATTATCGATCTCAATTACCAAATGTTAGAAGTCTATTTTTATTTCTTATGCATATTACAGTCATAGGCCTTATTATCCTACTATAGTATATAAGGCCTACTGACAAGGTTTTTAAAAATGTTCAATCATGTTTTTATTTATGACACACGTTGCCATGTTCTGTTTATTTTTGACAGGACCTGATCTTAAGGTTTGATTAACATTAAAATTCGTTGATTTTGTTAAATAGTTTTCATTTTATTTCAAATCCCCCTTAGCTAGGCCTTATTACCCGCACCTACCTTAGAACTTCATTCAACAACAGCGTCTCACGACCGCAAGGTCGTGGGTTCGATTCCCAGCACGGGCAAGGAACTTTTTTCAATATTTTATTTACGAATTAAATATTGTAAAGTTTCGGAGCATCGGCTGAGGATGGTGCTGCACGATTCGCTGTTGCGTTCCAATTAACAGTGCTGCTCCTAAAGTGGCGCATGGAGTTAGTAACAAAGCCTACACAGAACACGCAGAAAGATATGATGATGTGGTTGTGAGCATCAGAGAGGAAGTAGGACGGTGTATGTAGGTGGGTGTGGAAAACTACCAGCTGAGCGTGAGAGCGGGCCAGCTGCTTAAGTAGACTTCGATCTCGGGGGTTAACGAGGATAGTTAGCAGGCCTGCCACTGCGCATATGGTAGTGAGTACATTACTAGCCTACAAAACACAGCTGAAAAACTCTGAAAAGAGAGCTGATGGGCGGTGCCTGAAAAGGATGTTAGCCAGCTCTCTTGAGCGAACCACATCAGTCATTGAAAACACTTGGGGTTTGCAAAAAGGTCCCATTGGGGACTAGTTGCTGACGTGGAAACGTCCCCCACCAGTACCAGTAATAATAATATAGAACTTTATGCAACAACAGCAACATGAATTTCCAAACATGTAAAAATGTACAAATGAAAAAGCAAAAGTTCGAAAAGAACGATAAGTACAAAATGTACTTGTTTCGTTGAACAAATATAGAAACGAACATGAATATATAAAATATACATGGATATACATAAATAGTGACCATATTCTGAATCAATTCAAAATTAATATTGAATTATGGATCTATACATGGCGATAATATGTAGAGACTCAAATTTGCACAATTTGTAGGATTTTCATTTACTCGAATAGTCGTGGCAGCTGAATTCTTTGACATTCAAGTATTTTTTTTTTAAGTTCTGGTTCCCACGAAAGGGATATCCTGTAATGTTCAGAGAACATCGTGAGAACCAAGGGAAATGAGGTAGGAATTGGTGTTCTTCTTGAATTTCTGAAGGTTATATGCTTCGGGGAACACCTCCCTTGACAATGTGCTGTTCGTTGGATGAACGAGTGGAAATAGATGTTCTGCAGGTCTCCAAAGTGACCACGAAGGGGTGCGAAGCCTCAACTCGACGGGTTAATCTCGAGGGGACTGCCAAGGGAGGTACAATTGTTGATATTTCTGAAGAGCATCGTCCATGGAGATATCTATAAAATAGAGCCAGATCGCCAACTTTTCTACGGTGTTCCAGAGAAGTGAGTGAGTTTGTGAGCGAGGCATCACCCACGAAATGAATTGCCCTTTTTTGGACAGAATCCAACAGATTCAGGGTATAGGTTTGGGTATTGCACTCAAAATATAGGAACAGTATTCCAGAACAGGTCGGATCTGTGCCTTATAGATCATAAGTAGCTGACTGGAAGTGAAATAGCTCCTGGCCCGAAACAGAAAACCAAGTTTTCGGGATGCACTTTTCGCAATTGATTTCACGTGATTTTTTCCAACAAAGGTTATTGCTGAAAGTAATACCAAGCATCGAAATGGATGTCTTGAAAGGTATGGTTAGTCCTGACATGCTTATGATCGGCTTTTCTAGAGAAAAGGCATGCTTGTGTTTTGTTTGCATTGAAATCTACCAAGTTATTTGATCACCATTTGAGAATTGTTGCCAAGTCCATATTTATGTTGTCAACATTTCTCCCTCGCTCGCTTCTGATTTGCCTGGCTGGTATCGGAGCCCTGGAAGAGAAGGCGGTATGGAGGGTACTATCATCCGCGAAGCTGTGTACTGGACATGAAGTTGCTTCCAACAAATCGTTGATATGGAGTAGAAATAGCGTTGGTGCTAGAATTGATCCTTGCGGAACACCAGCATTTATGGTAAGAGAGTCAGATGAAACTCCGTCGACCACTACATGGAGAGACCTGTTTGAGAGAAAACTAGCTAGCAGAGAACATGGCTGGGGAGGCAAGCCATAAGATGGAAGCTTGGCGAGGAGTCCGTGGGCCAGACTCGATCGAATGCTTTGGAGATATCAAGTGCCACGGCTAAGGTTTCTCCATGATTTTCAATAGATTGCTGCCATATATTATGTGAGACGTAAGCGAGCAGGTCACCAGTTGATCTCTGATGACGGAAGCCACATTGCCTATCATTAATAATACCTGAATATTCCAGGTATTTCATGAGCTCGATGTTGATAGCTTTCTCCATGATCTTTGAGATAATATATAACAGTGCGATCGGTCTGTAGTTGCTAGGTAGGGTTCCCAATTTGTATAGAACGTTGGCGAAAGGTGATCTTGGGCATATGACTGTCAATTGGCGTTACGTTTGGAGGTTGTTTTTCCGATGAATCCAGAGTGGAATTTCCAGCAAATAAATGCGCAAAAATGTTGGCTTTCTCCTGGGCAGTTGTGGCTAGTGTTCCATCTTCCTTGATTAAAGGAGGAAACGAGCTGGAAGTGAAGTATCTTCCTACAGCTGTATGTGGTTTTTCAGTTCTTTTTGGGGCTGTGAATACTCACTAGTGATTTGATGATTTCAGGAATGCTATTATATTGCTTTGAAGCAAAGTAAGTATAGGAGCGTTGAGCAACGACCCTAACCATTAGTGGTGTGAAATAATGATTTCTTTGACGAGTATTGTATTGATGAGAAGGAAGCGATTCTGAATGTTTGTTTGCATGATATCTACTGCTGGAGCACAAGAAATACAATTGTCTTATGTCCAACATCTGTGTTTCAGTGTATAGTTCATCAGAAAGATATCTATTATTTTTTGAAAAAAATCAGTTTAATAAAATGTCTTTGCATAACTTCGATGGAATGAATATGAGTATTCAAACCTCCACCCCACACTATTTATTATTCCATAGCGGATGTGAATTTCCACAAGAGAATAGTATAGAGTTTTGAGGTACTCAAGAGGTAAGATATTCTTGAGTTTTCTAAATCTGAATAAAATTGTCCTCAATTTATTGACAATGTACTTGATATGTAAATAATAATAATAATAAAGTTTATTTCGAAGTTCGCCAAATTAGTACATTATATATAAAATTTCCAACAAAATGCGAACTGCATCAAATGGGCGTCAATGATAATTTCTTGATGATTATTTTTTTTTCTTGTTGAATATCGAAAACTCTATCTGTCCTGATCGATAGATGATCGAATGATGGCATTCAAGCAGAATTACAATGAGAGTGGAAGGAAATACGTTTTGTCAACATTTTATTAGAGAAAACTCCGTTTCAATCTTCACTTTCAATGAATTCCAGTTATCGGCTTTATAAAAGATAACTGTGTCGTCTGCAAATTCTATAATATTTTCGTTTCGGCTCAGTGAAAATAGTTCGTTAATATATATATTGAAAAGTGTTGGTCCCAACAAAGATCCTTGAGGTACTCCACAGTCGATCCCCCTTTCACTGCTCAGTATACATCATCAATTCTCACTTTCTGATGGGTCTTCCCATTAAATAATTTCGAAATTATTTAAGAATGTTACCCCGTATTCCAATGTCCTCTAAAGATTGCAGAAAAAGTCTAAAAAAACACTTCATAAAACTTTCAATGAGTACCAAGGACTTTCAAGCATTTCTGAGTCTTCCAATGACTAACAGCTGAAACTCTCATTGACTTCCAATGATTCTTAAGGCTTCCAATGACTTCTCAAGGCTGCCAAAAATAATTTAAAAAACCGTCCAATGAGCAATAAGTTCCAATAACTCACCTCTAAAGAATCACAACATAAATATGGACTTGGCAACAATTCTCGAATGGGGATTCAATAACTTGTTAGATTTCAATGCAAACAAAACACAAGCATGCCTTTTCTCTAGAAAAGCCGATAAATATATTAATATACCCATCTTATATTTTATGGATTATGCCATTACACAACATTCAAAATTGAACTCGCTAATGTGCAGTTTTTGGAATTATCGAGGGAATTATGTCATTTCAGATAACTACATCATGAACATTTCAAT